CGGGCCAACGGACGGCCGCCGGCCCGTTGTCCGCCGCCCCCGCCCGGCCGGCTCCACGCGAGGCCCGGGGGCGCGCGGGCAGCGGGGCTGCGCGGACCTCACGCCCGGCCGGGCAGCCCGCCGCCGCCTCCCCCCAGCCCCCCGCCGTCCTTGGAGTGGGGGGCACCCGGGCCCCGCTCCGCCCTCTTCCCCGGACTCTCAGCTGCTCCCGAGAGGCGCCTTCCGCTCCCACGCCCGGCGCGCAGGCCAGACCCTGCCAGCGGCCGCGCTCCCCGCGCTCGCCGGGTGGGGCGGGACTTGGGCGGCACGTAGGGCTCGCGTGTGCGGGCTCCGCGCCGGCAGGGCCTGTCGCCGCGCTGCCGGCGAGGTCCTTGTCTCGGGCCCCCCTCCCCGCCGGCGGCACGGTGGGAAGCGGGTCCGCGGGGTTTTGTAGGTTGTTGTGAACCCTTTACGTTTGGGGGAGTGTCTTTAAGTGTGTGTCTGTGGAGACGGGTCGGTGAGCTGCCCAGCTGGGGACGTTTGACCCCGAATTAATGCAGCCGAGTACTTTAAGTGTCCGCTCGCTTTTCTGTGCATGTAGGCGGTCCGCTTCCTTTCCCGGGAAGAGAAAGATTCTGGAAGGCCGGAGAAAATAGGGCAGAGGGAACTTGTCTGCGTGTTGAAGTCTGCTCTCCTTTGCTTCGTGGCCTAGGACGCTGCGAGTCCGCGTGCTGGTACTTGATGCACATGTCACCTGGTTCCGCTGCTGGGGCCGTGGAGGGACGTGCGAGTGATCCTGCCGGCGCCGGTGGTCTAGCGCTTGCGGGGCTTACACTAGTTCTAAGTTGTAGGAAACCCCCACCGTAGGGCTGTGGCATCAGTTGTCGGGATGGAGCCTCACACTGCGATGACCCTTGAGTATGAATGGATGGCTGACTGCGAGGGGAAGGCTGGGCCGGCTGGGCTGCTGAAGGAAGCCCACGGGGAGCTACCGTAATTGCACGGCTCCGGGACTCGGGCCGGCGGGGCAGAGGGCTGCCGCTCTGCGTTTCCGAGTGCTCGTGGAAGTCGGAGCAGTTTGGGTTCAGTGAAGGTGCGTGTTTAGGCGAAACCTGCCCACTTATTTCGTGGTTATCAGAATACCTTCCGGAGAGTTGGTAGCGTGCACACCCGTGGTGTTGGAACCGAAAGTCTTCTCTTTCCATTAATATGCAGAATAAGAGTTGGGCCAATCGGTTGTTGCTGAGTTTCGCTGAATTCAGGGTCCCATCTGAAATTAGATTTTTTTTTAAGATTTTATTGGTTTGACAGATCACAAGTAGGCAGAGAGGGGGGGGGAGCAGGCTCCCCGCCAAGCAGAAATCCCGCTGTGGGACTCCATCCCAGGACCCCGAGATCATGACCCGAGCTGAAGGCAGAGGCTTAACCCACTGAGCCACCCAGGCGCTCCTGAAATGAGATATTGATAGATACCTTAACTATAAAACTAAACTTGCTTTATCTCATGGTGAGGACATGTTGGTTTTATAGAAATTTAGAAAACTAGGGTGTTTTAAATTTTCTGTATTCGATCTTATCAAATTGCTCGCCTGCTTCATATCCAGAAAACCTGGTAATGGAGAGTGTACTGGGTGAGGTGATGGGTATGGAGTCAGCCAGGCAAGGGGGAAGGTCTGAGGGGCCTGACTAATGGGAGTTAATTTACAATTAAGTCAGCATTTCAAAATCATTATTTCCCCTGTGCAAGTGGCTTCTTACAGAGTTGCACAGTGTGGGGTTATTTTAATGTCCATTTCTTTGCAGAGTTAGTTGCCTGGCGTATTCCAGAGTACTCGGTGTCTAAAGGTAGTTATAAATATTTGGTGGCAATAACATAGTAAGGCCTGATTCCTCAGACATGTTTTGTGGTGAACTAGTCCTCTTCCTTGTCCTTGTGGCTTGGAGTTATTTACCAAAGAGAAGCCTAATAGTTGGTGATTAACTATGCACGCCCCAAGTTCAAGTTCTGAATATAGTGGAATCTTAGGAACTAAAATGAGGAGGTAATTGATAATAGGTAAAGAAATCAAAGCAGTTTAATTGTTAAGCTGAATTTCTTGGTGTGTGTGTTGACTATGGTAGCCAGTATGCTCAGTGCTTTCACGGACTCCGTTTCATCCGATCCCAGGCTAGAAGGGTTTGAACACCACTGTGGTTTCACAGCACAGTCCTTTGGATGGGAATGAGCTGTGAGGTGATCGTTTTGCCCAAGTCTAAGCTCAGTTCCCTGAAGTCCTTATTTAAAAAATTGTACACGGGTATTCTCAGGACTCTAGTTATTGTTAGTTTCTAGGCTAAAAAAACTTAGTGGGAGCCAGCACGTTCGTGGAAACCAAATCTTTGGATTTTATGGGTTTCTTTTGCTTGTGTGCTGTCTTTCTTTAATTGCCCACAGAGTCACAGCGGTCTGTGTGATTGGCATCTCTTTAATGGAATAACGGGAAAGGAATCTAGTGGATCTGCTTTTTTCTTTCCTCTTTTTTAACTGATGTAATTCACGTGGGCACAGTTCAGTGGCTTGTGCTGTATTCACTAGGTTGTGTGGCCATCACCGCCAGCTAATTCCACAATATTTTCAACATCTCAGAAAGAAGCCCCATACCCATGAGCAGGCACTCCCCATTTCCCCTCGCCCTCCAGCCCCTGGCCACCACTAATCTACTTTGTGTTTCTCTGGCTTTGCCCATTCTGGACATTTAAATGGAGTCATAACCATCTGTGGGCTTGTGTCTGTGGCTTAGCCGGTGTGCAAGGTTCAGCCACATTGTCGAGTGTACTTCATTCCTTTTTAAGGCTGAGTAAGGTTCCGTAGTGTAGGTACTAGAGCAGGACCTGCTTGTCTTTGTGTAGAAGATGAAGGCTCAGTGAGGCTGAGCGTGTTTTGGTGTTTAATCACACCTCAGCTGTGTCTTAAACATGCTTAATCCACTGTTTTAAGGTCCTTGATTATTTTGGGGTCTTTTCCTGGCACATGATGAATGAACATTTCCATGTTGCCTGATGTAGGGCACAGTCTCCTGTATGTTTTTCCCTAGATTGTCATCATATGGGACTGATACTGTTCTAAAGAGCTCACTATAAACTAAACCGCTTAATCATGGACAGATAGAGATGCTCATGACAAAAGCTGAGTATTTAAAACATTTAGGGCTTTTTTTTTTTCTTTTAACTTATTTTTTTTTAGAGAGGGAGAGTACCCCTACCTGTGGGAGGGGGCAGGGAGAGAGAGAGAGAGAGACTCCCCGCTGAGCATGAAGGGCTTGATCTTGGGCTTGATCTGGGGCTCGATCTCAAAACCCAGAGATCATGACCTGAGCTGAAATCAAGAGTCACCCAGGTGACAAGAGCACCCAGGTGCCCGTAAAACATTTAGTTTGGAGAGAAACCTAAGAAGGCTGTAAAATCTGAGGCTTCACGTATTTATTTATTTATGATTTTATTTATTTATTTGACAGAGATCACAAGTAGGCAGAGAGGCAGGCAGGGGGGTGGGGGAGAAGCAGGCTCTCCGCGGAGCAGAGAGCCCGATGGGGGCTCGATCCCGGGACCCTGAGATCATGACCTGAGCCGAAGGCAGAGGCTGAACCCACTGAGCCCCCTCAGGCGCCCCGAGGTTGCAGGTATTTGGAAATCGTGACCTTCACTCAAGGCTGTTGGTATTTTACTTATCTTTTGTTAGACCAAATTACAGAAATGCTTCATGCTGGATTGAGCAAAACCTCTAAGACCAGCAAAGACCATCGATATTAAAATCAGTAAAGTGAAAGAAAGTTGAAAAGTATTTAACTGTTTGTCAGTTCTTTATATTCAGAAAACTCAAATTTGCTAAAAGTTACTAGTCCTGATCATTGGCCACTCCTGTGCGGGTTTTCCACCTCTTCCTCCTTTACCTGTTTATCCTTAGCTAGAGCTGCCATGCACATAAGTTCCCACGGAGCCAAGCTGCAGAACAACCCCCTCCTTCCCAGCTTCCGCCCCGCCAAGTGATCTTGTCAAGCCTGTGACCTACATAGGGCAGTTTAAGTCCAAGATCCTGATTCCTGACCCCGTAGTTTTGGAAGCCGGCTCGCTGACGCAGACTCCGTGCTGCGGGACTCCAGGTGCTTCGCCTGTTCTCTTCCCTCCCACCCGCAGCGGCTGACCCCCCTCGTGGGAAAGGAAAATCCCTATCAGGAAGAGGTCAGGGCTCCTGACCCTCACCTACTGGCTAGCATTTTAGACTTTGGAAGAGAATAAATAAAGTAATAAACTCAAAAATGTATGCTAGACTCCTGGGTGTTTATTCTCCAAAAGCTTCCTGGTTTTTTGTTGTTGCAGTCTGTTTAGTAAGGTGGGCTTAAGGCTGAGACGGTTAGGGTCCTGTAACAGGTTATTAGCAAA